TATATATATCTTGTATTTTATCTCGATTTATTTCCAGCAAAAATATTTGCATCTTGAGAGAATAAAAGATTAATAAAATGCGATTATTAAGATCAAAGTAAGCGGGAAATTTGCATATTTCGAATACGAATGGAGGCGTGAAACGAACACAAGTAAACCTTTCAGTTTAAATTTTCCAACTCCATATTTATTTTGGCAATGTGCCGGTTATATGAAAACGTACACCTTTTTTTCCTCAAAAAGAATGATACATGTTTTGGATGAGGCTGTAAGGGATAATGCGTGAAAAAGAGAGAAAGGAAAGCAAATTGGCAGGATGTATGCAAAAAGATCGTGAGAATACAATATATTATTCAAATATATGTATGATAATGATAAACTTAATGGTAGATAGATAGCGAAAGAGAAAAAGAGAGATACAGAGAGATATTCGTAATACTTACTTATATAGATTTATAAAACTCATAACAATGAAATATATTCAACGCGTTATATCATTATGATATACAAGAAGCGTGGTACGTGTATTCATTTCATGTATTTATGTTTTTTTTTGCCTTCATATATGTATATCTGTGTGTGTCTGTATATGTTTTATACTTTCTAAGTTTATCAGAGTCTTCCGATTCTCTTCCTAATTTTTGCGAAGGAGAGAGTTAGAGATGCATGCCTATATCTTACATAGACACATCAAAATATTGATTTCAAAGAGTTTGAATCGTAAAATTTTTTAACAGCTAATCGTTAAACGGCTTCGATGCGTAGGTATTAATAGCAAGATAGCGTAACATTCATCGCCAACATACGTAACGATCATAATGGGTAATATTAAAGACCCGTATCTTTTCATCATATTGAGATACAATAATCGGCAAGGACCTTCGTTAATCGTCTTGGTGTACTACACATTCTCTCCATTTTTTTTTTTCATTTCGATATACTGAAATTTTCTGTGAATCACAGTTTAGTCACGATACGTCGAAACGATATAACGTCTTTAAGGTACGCTTTAATTCACGTCGCTTATGAGGATCAGTAAATAAAATATAAATAATTTAGCTTCTTATACATTCTTTCGAACGCGGACTAAGGAAAGTTTGAATGCGATAACATCGCTGTTAAAACAATCTTATTGGACACATATGTAACATTTTAAGTATTCTCTGCCTATTTTTTTACGCTGCATACAAAAATGTGTTGTCAGAATTTCTCTATCACTTTTATTTTTTGTATGATAAAAAAAGAGAAAGCAAGAGAGAGAGAGAGAGAGAAAGAAAAAGAATTGTGATTTTTCAAGATACGTAACGGTAAAAGAAAAGAGAGAAATATGCTTTAAGAAGGCATACGATCGCTTTTTCTTTTATTGCCGTATTACACTATCCTCTCGGAGGCAAAATTTGTATTCGTTTATACACCTCCATAAGGATCTTGGATCCTATGGACGATCAAACATCAATACAGCCTTAAAAGATATATATATGCATTTCGATATGTGCGACCACTTAAGTAGAATCGCCATCGGTTTACTGCAATCGAAAAGCTTATTTCTAAATTGTCTTAAACGCATATTTAAAAAAAAAAAATTATGCGCATGATCTCTATTCTTTTTAAATGTACGTTTAAGACGTTTTTGATAAGTAAGCTCTTCAATTTTTTTCTTTTTCGTAGGGATCGTCGTCGCGCTTCCCTCTCGTTCTCTATGAATTATTACGCATTAGTGATTATAGTCTTATAATTGGCACTCGCGTACTCGTAAGTAATCGAACAATTTTTATAACAAGAGGAATCAATTCCTCGCGATTTTTTTTTTCAATCGTAGACAATTTAGATAACGGGGAAGAAAGCGGGATGATGATAAGAAGAATGAGGGATCCTACATAAAAACGCGATTCTGTAGTCATTCAATACTATTTTGGAGAACTGACGAATATTTTACTTTTTCACTATATTTACATTATAACGCTGTATATTATAACGAAGATTAATAACGAGCAATCCTAACGAGAGGGAGAGAGAAAGAGAGAGAAAAGTCTTTAATTTATAAATATAATATAAATCAACGAATTTAAAGCGAAATTTTTTTATATAGCACTCGCACTAAGATTTTTTTTTTGATACAGAAAAAAGACCGCATTTTATAATATCTCCAATGATAAATTACGCCGCAAGTATATCGGTATTTTTATGAAATGCTGCTATAAGTGCGATATTAGTCAGAACGTGGAAATTGAGAAACCTAATGATATGCTGTAATTTGTCAGTCAGTAAATGACTTACGATTGTACAGGGTGATTCAAATATATGTCGCCCCGAACTTTGGAAATATTATATTCTTCCACGAGAAATAATCGTAATTTTGAAATTTTTTGTACATGTTTTTCTTTCTATCGTACGAAACATTTTTATTCCCGTCATCTCAGCGTCAATGTTATTTTTCTAAAACAGATTTTTTGATTGTCTAAAACTCTGAGAAACTAATCTTAGAAAATAGATTTCAAGAATGAAGAAAATATAAAAACACAGATACATTATATAAACGTGTACTGTGAAAACGGTTGAATCAATAAATTACACTTTGTAAATTATGTATTTGCAAACGCTAACCGATCAATAACTCTTTTCATACAATCGAGCGCCATAGATTTGAATTACTCTGTATCTTCTAATGTGAACTAAAAAATAAAAATCTGTTCTTTTCTTTCTGCTGGAATATCGCCGGGGTGACGCCGCGATTATTTATGATTGTCGACGAAAATCGAGCATTACTATCTCATCCTTCGTGAAATGGACGAAATGGAGAGGATGCATATCATGCCTTCAAATATACTAATAGAAGAATATGTTATGTGATATGCGTGTTTGTGTGCGTATGAATATGCGTGCTTTATATATACAGGATATCCCAAAACTGGGCTTGCTTGCTTGCTCGATTGCTTCCCTCCGATTATGATTCGATTAAATTTGAGGTCGAGTTTTCTTCCGTACGCGCCAAAATATCAATCGATATCATCAAATTGTAAAACTTTACAATTAAGAATTTAATAAATATAAAATTCCGAACGTGGGAATAAAAACTTCAAGCGATCGCGAATAGATGATAAGGTTTTAATTCCAGTTAATTACTATTTTGGATAAAGACTCTATGACATATGTTACGACTCTTTTTTAAATTTCATTTTTTTAATTATACAGTTATTTAACTTTGAATATTATAGAAAATGAATAATTATAATATGGTGTAACAAAACCTAAATCTTGAAGAGAATTTAGAAGAGGAGCAATCCACACCAGATTGATCAAATATATTTTGTAGTCGTGCGATTTTTGCGATACCCTGTATGAATATACACGTGTGGCCCTTATGTGCCATACACACACATTCACGTTTAAAGATTAACAAATAAATACAGATATAGATACACACGCGCGTCGGGCTGTGTGTATGTGTGTCCAAGCCGACGCGCTATAAACCTAGACCCGCATTTGTATCTCACATATTTAGCGTCCTAAATGCACAGTCTCAAATTCTCAATCTCATACAACGTACAATATGCGATGTTCTCATTATGAGACAAATAAAAGCCCGAGTCCCCAGACGATCGTTTTTAGCGCTAAATGCAAGATATAAACGCGAATCGTAACGAATCGGTATATCGTCTTATAAAATAATTAAATGAAAACATTTGTACTTTAGCAGTATAGAGCAGTCATTTTTTTTGTCGTAGTTATTTACCCTTAATATCGTTATCTTCTCGTTTATATTATATTTTATACATATAATATATATGTAATATATATATATATATATTTTTCTTTAAGAATAATTCCCGCCTCCCTTGGCACGCCGATACCGTCATCCTTGTCGTCGTTCTCATCTCCGTAAATAATGTATATAATAATATGTATATAATAATGATGTACTACGAGCAGCCGAACTTCGAAAAACAACATCAAGAGAGAATTAAAAATTTCCAAATTAGCAAAACATTTAAATAATTCTTTTTTAGTTGTGAGTGGAATCAAAGTACTTCTCGCGAATTGATCTTTAGATCCGCAAATAAATAATGATATCTCTTATCTCTGATATAATTTCAAGTGAGAAAACTATTTCAATGAAATTTTAATTTGAGGCTTAATAATTCGACAGCAATTTCCATTAAAAGAGCGATTTTTCTTTCGTCAGATCTAAAGTCGTAAAAAAGTGCGCAATGACTGGAACATTCTGTATATGCATGTATGTACAGTGGCCAACATAAATAGGAATAAGTATTTATTACAACTCAGTTCGCTATCTCTTTTTCTGTGTGCAGAAATAAGAGATTTATTTATATAATATATATTTTTTTTTCAGTGTTCTAATAAATTGAAATAAATTTTTTTTGTTAGTGTGATATTAATTTTAAAGATAGTGAAAGATATTTTGAAAATGTTTAATGAACAAAAATATCAAATATGTTAAATTGAAAAGAAAGTGTGTTCACTATTTATATGTTGACCATTGTTTACATATATCTCAAACATTTAATAAAAAAATTTATGAGTTGAAGTTTAATAATCATTAAATTTAATAACGAAATATATTCGAGGAATCATTTTTTTTCTCTAATCTATCTTTATGATATAAACTAAAGGAATTGCGAATATAAATATCCCTTTATGTACGCAGATATCGGATAAAATCCTTTTGGACGATTTGTATTGCTGTTTTTACTTTCAAACAATGCTCACATTTTTCTTCATCATACTTCTTTAGACATATGTATGATGGACATAAATTTGCGCAAATGCGATCTAAAATCGATCTTTTCTTGATACGAAAGTGTTGTGGCAAGTCGTTAAAAGTTTCTGAAATTACAAGTAATTGAACTTGTATAACTCTTCGCAAACCAAATTTTATGACAAATAAACGTTAATTAAGTTTAATTAATCTCAATTAATTTTAGATGAGCTCAGTTATATATATGCAGCATCTTAATTAAAAAGGTATTTTTTTACCGAGACGTTTGACCTTAGATACTCAGAAATTTTTAGAAAAACGAAATAACATTCGATTAAATTTTCTAGCAATGGATTAAATTGGAGAAAAACCTTGACAGTTTTATATTGGTAAAAGATTTTCATCGCGCAAATTTGAAGCCATTCCGTACATTTATGTATGTATATATTGTTGCTTTTAATGCATATCAAAGAGAACGGGTGTACATAATGTGCGCGCGACAGCGCATGTAATCGGATATCAAACAGAAGGGCAATTATTAAGTAACCTTAGCAACTGTACGGGCGGATTTCACAGAAGTATTTCGAAAACCGTCTAGATCTTACTCTTCTAACGTTTGCGTTTTCTTTTTTTTTTTTTTATTCGCTCGACTTAAATAGCACCTCCGACGATAACGTTGATATAGATTATAATCAGTGTGTTATAAGTACAATCAATATAATAATAATAATAATATCTATATCAATAATAATTATTATAATCGTTATAAAATAGTCATAATAATGACAGTAGTAATAACGATAATAAACATATCGGTGATAATGATAATAGCGGTAGGAAGGGCAGCAATAATATTTAGATTTTAATCGCAATAATATTATTAATAATAACGATATTGATTATGCCAACGATTTTTATAAGTATATGTACAAATATTATAGCACCATGACCGAAATCTCGATTCTTCTCGAAACTTAAAAGAGACGAAGCGAAAGATCTCAAATTAAAATCAGAAAGTGGCGGAAGGAATAAAAATGTGAATGAATCTTGCGTCTCGGCCAAAACGTTAAAGACGAAAAAGACAAAATTGAGGGATAGGAGAAAAGGGGAGAAGGACAAGATCGTCTTTTTAATCCGTTTTGCAAATTCAAAGGAATGAAAAAAATGAAAAGATTCTTCAACACAATGGGTCTAGAATATATAAAAGCTAAATGTTGGTGCGTTTTTTTTTTTAATTATCGTATCGACCAATCATCGCGCTTACGCTACGAAAAATTAAAGGTTCGCTGAAATCAGAGTGAAGGAATTTTTCAGGATATGTCTCCGAAGGTGGAACATCATCAATTCGCGCGCGAACGACTGGCAAGAACACAGAGGGACACTTTCGGCGCTGCTCAAGGATGACAAAGGACGATTGACCGGCGCCGTCGCTATGAATTAGAGACAGATAGAAAGAATTATCTTTTTATCATAATGATACAATATTACTAATATTATTACTATGATGTGTTTGGCCGTTTAATTTTATATATATCCAGCAACGCTCGCGTGAACATATCTTTTCGATTCACGATTGTTATCTCCTCGGCGAATAATTTTCGTGGGACTAGAAATTTTGAAGAATACGATCGTGCGTTATGAGAAAAAAGTGTCAATTCTGCGAAGAAGAGATTGCAATATTTGTAATATGTCAATATTTATTTGTCTATACTTTATATTTATATTTTCATGTCTCTCATCATTATATATATATGTTTCTCAATTACCGATACAGTGATGTAAAAAAAACTAATGTGCTTAAAAGAGCTCTCGGCTCTCTTTCTTTTTTTTATTACTTATTTCCTTTTTTTTCTAATTTTTTATGTCACCGGAACCTTTAATATTGAAAAATTACGCTGCTGAAATTTATTTTCCACAGCTCTTCCAATTTTAACACACCATCGATGTCGATTCTTTCTACTGTATTTTATCCGGATATTTTTTCCGGAATTCTATCTCTAAAATCCGGAAACTTCAATCAACAATTTCCTTATCTCGCGACAATTGAATAAAAAGCGGAAACAATGATATATATGATGATCAATAAGTCAAGCCAAGTCACACATGCTCGACATACTGGATCGCGAAAGAACTTCCATCGCCGATTACGATGATTAGAATAAAAAAGCGAGAGAACACTACGACGTGATTGTTGCCTTGTAATCGCCGATACGGTCTATCTTGCAATTCGCTCGACATTAACGCGATAATTAATAGCTACTTCTTTTTTTTTGCAATATAGTTTCAATAATGTTCCTTTGCAATATACATATATATATTTCTCCTATATATATTTGTATATATTTTCATTATTATATTAAACGATGATATCCTCTTTGTCCAATATATTAATTAAGTATGATATGTTTATTCACAACTTGATGTGAGCGCTTAGAAAGTGTGTTATAAGTAGATAGAAAGAGAGAGAGAGAGAGAGAGAGAGAGATAGAGCGAGAAAAAGAGATAGAATGACGAAGATTGGAAACTTTTTTTCTTCCTTCCTCTAATATCGCAAAGACAGGATCTCCGATTCCTCTTTCGATTCGAGTGATAGCGATAATAAACCGGATCACATTATTACATACTTTAAGTACGCCCGGTATATAGATAAAACAGTGATATCTATATTAATAAACTTCTTTTTTCTCTCTTATTCCATGAATGAGTATTTCGATGCACCCGCGCGCGCGCGCACACACACATCACACACACACGCACACATATCCAGACACACCGCAGCGTGCACACACACACACACACACACACACACACACACACACACACACACACACAACATGCACGCATATTCACAAACGCACAAATTGCGATTATATATCATTATGCATTACGCTAGTCATTGTCAGAGAGTCATTAGTGTTTAAAGTTTGAAGAGTCGGCCCGCGTTCGCTTCCGGATCGTTTCGCGCGGAAGCGCGACTCAGGTAGAATTTTCTGGACGTTGCATGTGTGCGCCAATATATTATGTACTACATGTGCCGTTATGTACGTGAAATAGATGTACGCGTGTTTTTTTTCGTCAGTAAATATTTCGCGTGTTTAATTGAGGAACTTTAATAATCCCCGAATCGCCAATTTTGTGCGTTTCGGTATTTTTTTTTTTTTGCGCACCTCCGTCCGGAACGGTTTCCCGAAGCGCTACGCAATGATTGTTTTCAGAAAAATATGCGCGCGTCTCTATAAATGCCGCACCCTGTATATATATATATATATATATATATATATATATATATATATACACATATATGCATACACAATTATATCGACATATATAATTCGCTATTCTACTTGTCGAGTAATAAAAATAGAGATTGCATAGATTGAGATTCGTAGCGAATGCATCTATAAGAAGATACGTCTTATAAAGATCCCGAGCCTTACAACATGAAATTTGTATATGCCTCCTCTCTCGTCTTGTATATGATTTCATCAATTACACGCACGATAAATATATAGTTGCTTAATATGCGTGCTCGCGCGTGTTTTTCGTTATGTTTTACGTGGCCGTACAGTCACTCATCGTTCTTTCGGTGTCGCGACAAATCCAGGGATCAAAATTGGTGATATTTCGGTAAATTCGACATTTTTTTGAAGAGCAAAAAAAAATGTGTATTCCGATATATAATATTTAACTTTGTAAAGATAAAAATATGTGAAATTTAAAATTGGAATATAATTCTTTCAAAAATGCATAGTAATAATTATATTATTATTACGTAATATTATATACAATTTAATTATAAAATATGCAATAAAGAGAAAGCCGCACACAATCCGAAAAAAAGCTGTTACGAGATATGATTTGAGAAATCAATCACTGCGTATATATCTGTAACATCGAAATTTCACCGATCTTGACTCCTGCAAGGGATACGAACGTACTCGGCGACGCGTAATACAGAGGGGAACACTTCGTAATCTTAATTTCTGATATGTCCGTTGAGTTGGTGTTGCTGTTGCTATCTGTATCATCTGGCCGATTTCCATTCTAGAGAAATAAGCCGCTCGAATGAGTGCTGCAGGTTGTATGTTTAAATCCTTAAACCTTAGACATAGTCGCAGAAAAAGAAACAAAAAGAGACGATAAAATCTTGAGCATGAACGGATGTTCATGACATACGATTTATGCATTTGTGCTTGGCCATGCGTCATCGCGGCGGATAAAGCAGCCACCCGTTACTTAACGCGGCGCAAAAGATACCTCCTTCGTCGATTGAGTATTTTATTAAGTACACACACTCGTCCGGAAACACGCGTGCTGTATGCGTGTGGTATTGCCTGGCGAATAGTACAAAGCCGTTTCCGTTGAATTTGAGCAAATTGCGCCTGCCAATCTCTTCCTTCCCTCGAGCTTGCATGAAAACTCTTCAAAGCTCCGTCCTATTGCCTGCGCGGCTTTTAAAGATATAATCTCTTCTGTGCCCTCTTCCAATTATCTTCTATGATTATTCGAACGATCAAGATATTCTGGGAGCAAAATTAGCGGGAGTATCTCAAAAGATCGCCGTCGGAAATTCACGTAATCGCTATTTAAACTCGCCGTTTGGACAATCGACGATCTCATGTATATATATATATTTTTTTCTTTATTTTTCTCAATTTTCTAATACGGCGAGCTTTTTGCAATCGAAGATACTTTATTTCCCGTTATTCTTCGAGCAATTGAAATATTTCACATTAGCGAAAATTGGCGCTAACCACAGACGCTATCAACAACCGTGGCTTCGCTTTTCTTTTCTCTTTAATTTAGCTAATATTCTTTGCGACAGACAATATCTTCATTCCTTATTCACAAGAGATATGTCTCATTTCTTGTTCCCATTCGCTCGTTCTTCGTTCAGTTTCGGATCGCGTTGTGATCATGTTTCACCGTCTATGAATCAAAACGAATGATTCTCTAGATATTCAGAGCAGTCTCGATAGCGCTGAGCAACTTGGTTTCTTGCCAGTATCTGGTATCGGTACCATTCATCTCGTTGCACCTTATTCTGTCAAAGAGACAGAAACAAAGCACGGATCATTAAGAGCAATCTGTAAGCTTACTATTCTAAATGTAAACTGCTCAATGTGTATTAAAGCAATTACTATACTTGATTGTCATAAAAGTTCATCTTTTAGTGTGGCAAACATTATTATTGTGACATAAATGACAAAAAATAATTATTTGACGACTTTATTTCGCGAAAATATGTATATCAGAAGGGTTTACTCATACGACCCGTTCGATTTTTACTCATTTATCGTCAAAGATCATCTCGTTGCAAGTCCCGTAATTGGTTAATTACCTCTCTTCATTGCAAATCCTCTTCGCACTTGGGAATGTCGAATATCTCGGCGAACAGCGGCGGTAACTTGAGTTTCGTCCAATTTCTGCGGAACCAATCGAGAAGGCTGGCATGCCTGGCGCCGAGCGCTCTTAACTCGGGTATCCTTTGCGAAATGCTGGTGACCGAGCCACCGGATCCCTCGCCGGACGGTCGCGCTGCTTGTACCCTCAACGCCTCCAGCACACGATCCTGCAACCTTTGCACAGCCTTGACATCGTTCAAACCCGGTCGCTCGCTCAGCAGCACCGCCGCCGAGAACAGGCCCAGCTCGGTGTCCGTCAGTTGATGGGCGTTCAGCGACGACGTGACTTGCATCCACGCGGACACAAAGTCGGGCTGTCAAAGATCGTCAAAGTATAATACAGGAAATTACGACGATTGTAACACAAGCCCGGCTTGGTATAAATATTCTCAGACATTCATACAATATATTTTATTGTTAAATGTTCTCGTTTTAAGAGAAAAAAGAAGCTCTAATCTCACCTCGTACATCAATTCCAGTTGCTGTCGAGTGAAGTAGGTGCCATCCTCAAAGGTCATCGAATTGTCGGTTGTCATCTTGGAAATGTGACAGAGCCACACCTCGAAGAAGCCGACTTTGATCAGGATCAGTTGATCATCCTGCGAGAGCTCGCAAAATCCTGGCATTCGTTTCGCGAACTCCACCACCCTCTGTACCGATGGCGTCACCCTCGTGGCGAACTGCTGCCACAGCCAGATCCTTTGCGATTCAACCGTCTCTGCAGTCGAGGACGCGGCTTCCGGATCCTCCGGACTAGCAGGCTGCGAAGAATTACTCGCCTAATCAGCAAGATTACAAACAGACCTGCGAGATTTTCTGCCATTTTCAGCGGGGAAGTCTTTGCGCTAATAAATTATTAATAATTAAACTAATTCCATTCCATAAAAAAAATATGATGGAACATTTTATAACAAAAGTATTCTTTTGTCATCATTTTCATTCAATTAGAAAAATTGTTATCGGGAATTAAAATATATACGTCTTTTTCTTATATTAAATGTTATTAAATTTAATTACTTGTACGCACGAGTCTCATAATTTAGATCGGTTTTATAGGTCACAATGGATTAATCTAATTTTTTTTTTCTATAATGGCTCACCGGTATTATCATGGGTTTTCTCGTGAGGCCTCTGGTGGACTCTTCCGTGAAGCCGCAGTGAGCGTGATGCGCCTGCGACACTTGATGAATCACGTCGTATACGGCCAGCTGTTTCACGTCAGCGTCCGATTGATCAGCCTCGACCACCGCAGCCGGCGCTACCCGCGAGATCGCGTTCTGACTCTGGGTATTGTTGTTGTTGTTGTTATTGTTATTGTTGTTATTATTGTTATTGTTGTTTTTGTTATTGGCATTGTTGTTGCCGGTATCGGGCGTGGTGAGTTGCTGCATTTCCATGGCCGCCATCGTCGTCGTCGTCGTTGTCGTCGTCGTCGTCGTCGTCATGGTCGTCGCCATCGTGTCCTCGGGGCCGCGTTCCCTGGAGCGTTTCGGCACCCTGCCGTATCTCACAGCTGCAAAGACACCCGCGTGATATTAATGGCTTGATATTTAGATATGTCCATATACAGTATTCAAGAATAAGCGAGCGTTTTTTATAGTCTTTCAACTGCGATCGATTAGAAATAGAGATCTTTGGCGAAACCTTTGTAGCAAGATCTTTGTGCTTTACAGAAACAAATAAATCAAGAATTTTATTAGAAAGCTGTGTTTTAAGATTTCAAATGAAAGACATTCCGTTGCGTTATAACTAGCGAAGTAAATTGGGAGTCCATTGGAGAGTTCGTTGCAACTCGTTTATTTGTGATACGATAATAAGCAGTACCGGCAGGTCGTGTACGTAAAACACGTAGACCGGTATCGCGCTTTGGAGAACTCTGGTGTTTAATTATGTACACGCCTGGCCCTTTGGTTTACTTTGCTCTCTCAGCACGGGTGGCAAGTAGATTTTGCATCACTGACGGTTAAGACCGCGATCTCGTAGGATCCTGTTTGAATTTCTAACGGTGTCGCTGATCCTCGCAAGCTCGATACACGCGCAGGGAATCAAAGCCGACTCGTCGACAGATTATACACTTGGCATATATGAGTATAACTCGTGAATTATAAATATTCCATAATCCTCGCGTAAATATTTTTTTGACTCTTAACGTGTTAAGAGAATCTCTGCTCTTCCCCTATACATAATTACTCGTTTTGCAATTGATTAGATAATCAATTAATCGAACGTGTTTTTAAAAGTCTATAAAATTTTTTTAATACGATAAATAGAAAAGAATTAAGAAGAAAATAAAAACAAAATTTAAAAAACCAATACTTTTTAAAATAATTTTTTGAAATTTTTAAATCACGATCTTAATTTCGTGAATCAATGCAATTAATTGATCAGTAGCGTCTTTTGATTAGAAGGGGTATTGCATTTCATGTAAAAACAGCAAAAAAGGAATCAAAAATTCTCTTTTCGTAATCTTTTGGAAAAAATATTATGTGATGTGAGTTATCAATTTTTTTTTTTAAATAAATACACAATCTGTATTTCAAGAAATCGCAAATATTCGATGATATTCAACTCAACGTCTCTTCAACACCGACATATTTTCAGATTTATCGATTTTTTAAACGATGCGTAAAAATTGTTAATTGCTCTCACGCGAGCACGGGGTACTTACAGTCTCTGGACATGCCGACGGCTAGGCACTTCTTGAATCTGCAGTACTGGCAGCGGTTCCGATTTAATCTGATGACGAGACACTTGCCGTCCCTCAAGCACCTGTATTCTATCTGCTTCTGTATGCTCCTCCTGAAGAAGCCCTGAACAGGAAGTGAGGAAACGCTATTAATAACGATCTCATATACCGTATCCCGGGGTTAATTATATCGCCCCACGTATAAAATACGACACTCTACGCCATTCTTTATAACATTGAGAGTTCAGAAAAAGCGAGAGAAAAAGAGAGAGAAGTAACGGAAAATGCATCCATGAGAAAAGCAAGTTCTCGAGCGCCCTTATCATTATCGCGCATTCTTCCGGATGTGAAAATCTCTTGTAATTACATCGAAGTTTATACAAATGATTAATAATAATTTCAATGATAATTTATTACACAAAACACAAAGTTGTATATGTTATGTATTGTCTTTCGTAAAATCACCAAATATCCTTCTAAATTTTCAGAAATTTGATTAATTTTTTTTTAAAAGAACTTCGTAATTAGCACGTTTGTCGCGTTCTTTTTTTTTCCGATGTTAGTTATCTGACAATTGAATCAAAAGCCGCTTAAAATTTGCCAAAGTCCTTCAAAATAAAGCTCCTTCTTTAAAGGCACAATCTACTTTAACAGTATAAATAGTTGATGACTTTTAGGAATCTTGTTTCATCAGTCTCTAAAGTAGATTGGATCTTTAATGTAAAAATTTTTAAATAATAATATTAATTTATTTTCCAATATCCGAATAATTCAATAATATAATCCCTCAACTTCTGATGTTCGTTAATACATATTATGTAATCAGCAATCGGCTACACAAAGCGAAGAAGAGCTCATTTGCGGAAGTAATGGAAGAATAGCAACATTATATGGACAAATTGCGAGCAGTCGTGGAAATATCGGTTCGTTGGCTTATTTTTATCGGTGCTAATTGATGAAAGATATTCATAACGGCATTGTACAACAATACTGACGTACATCCAATATCCTGAAATATCCGATGGGCCGGCTGCTCGTAATGCAACTGTCGATACTACTGGTAACCGATGGGGTGCTCGGTCTCAGCCTGTTTCTAAAATCGATACGTCATATCGCGCACGTCTGTTTGTCTTCGTCAGCCGGATGACGGAAAAAGCGTATAACAGCCATATAGTTATTAAAGCAAAACAAGGAAGACATGAGATGAATGTGCGCCGATTTTAGAAACGGTAGATGTCAATTAATTGATACTCCCAATCGGCTAAATTATAGTTAAACGATTAAATTAATGATACTTTATGTTTTTCTGCTATCGATAATAATTACACCGTCATAAAGAAAGAAATATGTACATAATGCTATAAAATTGAGATTATAAATCTCTGATTATAATTAATCTTATTTTGATAACATTAAACGAGTTTTTCTTGGAAACTAACTTCGATAATACTATTTTTATTTATATTAAATAATTAAAGAGATACGTATGGGATTTTCTTAGTAGTATATTTTAAATTTAGATAAAAAAAAAACTACGGAGAAATTCTAAATTGATTATAAAAAATATGAAATACATGATACAGTGACAGATAAAATTTGTTTTTTAGTTCAATAAATCTCGCTATATTATTATTAAAGATTTGTGTATCACAAGATGATAACACCATAGAGCAATTACGGAAAAATTATATGTCCAAGTGCTGTTCAACAATAAATATCGCGCGAGAAAACCTTCGGTGAACGAGAAACGGGCAGCAGCTCGAACCGCGCATCGCTCGAATCAGTAGTAAAAACGTTGCAGGTCAGACGAAATGTAGTGGCGGACCGCGCAGTAGTAATAACCCGCGCGTGGACGGACAATGCTAAGCTGTTTCATTGTTTAATCTGTGTCGCATTTTAAATTATAATTTACAGGCACTCGCATAAAGATTGTTTTGTCAATTCACAAATCGCAGTTATTAATTAATTATGAATTTTAATATCACGAATCAGAAATTAATCGAGAAGTTTGTATAAATATATTACATGTATATAAGTTTCATCTTTATCTGACTCATTTGCATAATTTTAATTCCCGATTCGATATAATATTGCTATCTGCGTCGAATATGCCCCCATTTCCGAAATATCCCGTGTATTCGCTTGATGCGTGCCTCGACATATAAATGTTGGAGAAAACAAAAGCGCATATGCTATTTGCCCAATATTGGAAACGTGCCCGGGCGTCAAATTTTTCTCTTTCTCGCTCTTTTTTTTTAAGCGGAGATTTTTTGATAAACCGCGTTTCTCTCTCTCTCTCTCTTTCTCCCTTCCTCTCAGGAACGCAAACGAACAACGAAGATTCATACTCAACTAATTTTAGGCAAACTTAGATTATCTTTATTACTTTACATTACAGAACGTGTTAGGAAGCGTGTGTGTAGACCCGATAAAAGCGTCTGCCTGCGTGCATTCTCGATGCTAACGCGAATGCGAGAATGCACCACTTCACCGTTAACTCTGGCCTTAGGGCTTCCGCGTTTGAAATCTCAGACGTACAGCAGCACACAGGCGGCGAGAGATCCGTGTATCTCCCACGATGCTCAAGGGTCCAGTCTACTCTAGCAGTATGATGATTTTTAGGAATTTTTTTTGAAGAATATTAGAAATTGATCTTTTTAGTCCTTTACATGTGTTCTTATCAATGCTTAAACAGTACATCATTTACCAAAAAAAGATAAATATCCAAGATTTAAAAATACTGACGTACCGTTTAAACATCAATAGAAATATATGTAAAACGTCGAAAAGATCAATTTCTAAAAAAAAAAAAAAATAAATAAATAAAACGTCAATTTTTCATATTGCTGGAGTAGACTGGAGTAGTCCCTTGAGGTAACTATCCTGCCCCGAAGTGCAAACGAGCCGTTTCACGGATTATTACTCGATCGTCATGCATCCTTGCGTATCGGGAAGCTCTGTAAATTGTACTCGACTCAGCTACAATATTATTTCGCATGTCGTGAGGTCAAATCGATCGACGAATATCCCGCAAAGTGTCGGAAGCTGCGAGCGCAACTCGAGATCGCGTACGATATGCAGTTTCTAATTTCGTGGGTGCCAATTCTCGTTTCACTTATTACAATAATAAATCGCGAAAAAATAGAAACCCGCTTGCTTTTCGCGTCATTGATATAAAATTGGACATTGACAGCGATGGAGCTAAATACATTATAGTAGTCATGTTACACAGATTTAAATGTAACTGCTGAAGATATCTTTTTTAGGCACTTTAGATTTTTTTTAGACGATTTGTCAGCATCAGCTGATCGCGAGGAAGACCGGCGCAAAAGGTGCGATGTTCTTGACGTTTATTTTGCGAAAATTAACGTAAATATCATAGCCTTTTGGCTTTTAAGTTCCGAAGCATTCGGTTTCGATTGTTTGTTTATTCGTGATAAGGATATCCTCGATATACGATACTCACTTTGCAACCCTCGCAGCTGGTAACGCCGTAATGGTAGCCGCTGGCTTTATCGCCGCAAACCTTGCACGGTACGAAGCTTTTAGCGGGCGTCGAACTGTTGGAATCAGCTGCCGCGTAATGCTGCTCTGTAAGCGAACAAAAAAAATAATTAATGCATTGTTAATTATATGCCTCGACATAAATCGCGCTTTTTTTCTTATAATAAAACTAATTTTACAATAAAATCATTATAGGGGACGAAGTGGCTGTGTATATTATAACTAACAATAAGAATAAGATTATCCGTATATCGATACGTGAAATATACACTTTGTAAAGCTGTTTAATTTTGCTTATGCCTTAAGTTTAATAAATAAATAAGTTTATATATATGTAAAATTTTTCTATATATCTCTTTCGTATCAAATATTTTCTATTGCAGTATTCTCAGTATATATCAAGTAATTTATATCAGAAATCTCTTATATCTACGTAAACCAAATATAATACTTTACATACATTTTGTTAGGAAAATAGATATCGCTTTTTTATTGTCATTTCGCGATTATTTTTTTAGTACCTTCTTTCTGTGCGTCAAACTTTAAATAGGGGATAAGATATATAAATCGTATTTTTGCGCGCAAATTTTTCTATTTTCGAGAGACACACACGGGACGCACATCCATCTAGCATTGGCATCCTTCCTTCTTTCGGCATCCATAATGCAACGAAGCTCGCCCATGAAAGGGAATAGGTCGTTCCTTCGTTCGGACGGGCTGGACGTGTAACGGGAAGCCAGCGTCACCGTTACGGAAAGAAGGCAGAAGAAGAAGAAGAAGAAGAAGAAGAAGAAGAAGCGGGCGTAGCAGCGGCACCCAACTAGACGGAGCGGAGCAGAAACAGGAGGAGGAGATGAAGGAGGATGACGGGGAGCAGGAGGAAGAGGTGGAGCAGGAAAGAAACGAAAAAGGAGTAGCAAAGAGGAACGAAACGGGGCCCCGCCGGCAAAGGGAGAGAAGGAAACTATATAGGAGAGATCGTAGTTTGCGACGTGGGTATACCGTTAGTCTCTCGCGAAACCCCCTGCCAGAATATGTCGGATGTTGTAAGGAGGAGAGGAGAAAAACGAAGAGGAACGTCAAGAGAAGCAAAAGAGGGAGAGAGAGAGAAAATCCTGAGCGATTCTAATCCGACAGCCTCGCGCGATGTGATTTTATGACGGTCGTAGAGCGAAGCAAACGGTACTGCATCAGTGCGAGCATCGCGAGGACAATCAAGAACAACCCCGTTATTCCGTTCTCGGTGCACTATTCCTTGCGCCTTTACTTTTGCGAGCGACAACAGCGAACATCTTTGTCAGAAAAATTGTGCAACTCTTTCTCAAGATCGATCCGTTACGACAAGTCAAATTATCAACGATCAAATCTAGAAATGCACCACTAATACAATTACGCTGGATCGCTTAGAATATAATTATTGTATTTTGTAAATCATGCATAACATATGTATAACGGTCGCAAAATGATACGTCTTGGTTTATTGTGTGTGTGACAATCTTAGTTAAACATACATATACATATATGTATGATATTCATATTCGGGGAATTAATTCAGGAAATCATTGCTTTTTGATGTAGCGCTTATAATTTTGATATAATTAAACTGATTAAACGCGAGGCACGCGTGCGTGGAAAAATTGTTTGGTATGCAATTCGAGCTAATTAAATTTTTCTCATTATACCTTTTTTCCGGTCAATAAATTTAACGATATTAATTTAATGAAAACTCATTGTATCGAGAAGGATAAATTGGAAAATCAAACTTGGAGTTCAATTCTCTGCGATTAAACTTTTTACGTCATAGTCAGTTTAACTCTCTGTGAAGCACAGATTTGATATGACACTAAAATTAGTCGGAGTTTTTTTATTTTAATTTCAGACAATTTCACGAGAAGCAGCATGTCACACCGTCGAACCAAACACGTTACGCAGGAACTGATATAGAATAAAAGAAAAAGTTAAATATTTTCGATTTAAAAATGTTGACATATTTTTTAAACATCAATAAAAATGTATGTAAAACGTCAAAAATCAATTTTTTATATTCTTAAAAGAAAATGAAGATAAATTTTTCATACGGTTAAAGTAGACTAGGCCCTTAAATCTCCTTAAACCTCCTCATAAATTCTGATAATTTATTTGCCGATAAATATAGCGAGTTTCTTTTTTTCCACTCGCAATCGTTGCTGCAATATACGATTTAAATCGGCGATAACGTAACATCGCATCGTCTGTTCGATCTCCTGTTTCAAAGATGACAAGATTTCCACGAAGCTACAATCCGTCAGTCTACTAATAAATCGATTACGTTACATCCGCGCGGGGGCCCTACTCGCCTTTGTTCGGAAATCAGCGGCGCGGTAAATGCACCGAAAGCGCCGCATGCACGTTCGAATAAACGGCACGATGCGATGCTAACGATATTATCATGCTCGACAATATATCGAGGGACCGATATATACAACCCGTTTTGACAATGTGTTTATTAGCGACTGTCCAACTCCCACACAATAAACACAATTAAATCCGGACCAGGCATTTATCCACAAACAATCTGGCGTTTCGATTTACATCTGTTGTCTAAAACAGGACGATTGTAATTGCAATTTTATATAATTACATTGTTCTATTTAACGTCGAAACGTCCAATGTACATTATAACATGATTTAATGAGCGAAAAAATCGGCGTATTTCGGCGCATACGTAAAATGATAATGCCGTCAAAATTATCGCACCAGTTACTTATCTAATTCTACTCCGCGATATTTATTAAACTTTAATATTAACACAAAGGCCGTTAGAGAAGAACAGTCGTAGAGTCGAGTGTCAAATCTCAATTTACGCCGTGGAAACGTGGCGCAGTTGTCCTTGTTATCGCAAGTGCGAATCTACGTGTACTTGCGAAATGAGTTGATGGTGCACCCCATTGTCGGTGAGCACTGGCGCGTGTTCGACACGATGGTGGACGCTCCCGGAAGAAAGCGAAATGGGATCGCGTACCGCTTTCCTGAGATCTCGTGAGAAAAACAAAAATGCGCGAATTGTTTGCTGAATATATTTCGGCTGTTGTGTGTGTGTGTGAGATATTTAAAAAAAAACGCAGTATTTATACACACGCACAGAAAATTAATATAAGTAAATTATTTAATCCTCTTTTTTTAAATTGAGTGGTACACACACACACATATATCATTAAAAAATTCACGGAGAATTACCTGATCTGGCAGATTTTGTTCAAAATCCCAGGTAGAATTAGAGAGAATTTGTAGATGCAACTTTTTAAAATAAGTTTTTTTAATTTTTATTATGTGCTTTTACAAAATAAATCTGAAATTTAAATATAAAAATTGATAAAATACTATACTATCATTATTGATACGAGTTTTAACCGAGTTAATATGAGTTCTAAACCGCTCATCAATATACGAGTATTTGTAACGAGCCAAAATACGCTGATTTCACATCGACGTTTATTGATGTGAATTCAAATCGGCAATGGTATCTTGACGGGCTAAATGTCTGTTTATTTGAGCTGACCCTCGTAATTTTTAATCATGTAACATTAATACACAAAAGTATAATCCCCGAATTAGGATTAATTATTGCGCGTATATTTTCCGTCGCATAAAATAATTTTGGGACAATCCAATCCGATTGCGCGTTGCGTAATTAAATATCGAACTAACGAAGCGAGAATCAATTTATTAATTGTTAATTCGCAGCAAAAGTAGCGCAACTCGCTATACGAACTGATTAAAATCTAATTGATCGAGTTTTTTTTCAGTTTTATCCCAATCAGATTATTTCAGCATTTTTTTACACACTTTCTCTCTAAATTAAAAAAAAATATATAATTCTTAAAAAATTTATATTATAAAATGCTTTTTCACGATTGTCATCTTGCAAAAAGTATTGATATTCATTTATAATATCATTATTTTTTTTTTCAAAATCAACCTTATTTTCGGATATCTACAAGATGCTATAAAAATACCACGTATCGATATCGCTACACGAGTTGATTAAAATCTAATTAATCGGTTTTCTTTCAGTTTTTTCCCAATCAAATGATTACAGTATTTTTTTGACATACTTTCTCTCTACATTTAAAAAAAATATATATAATTCTTAAAAAATTTATATTATAAAATGCTTTTTAAACTTATGAAAAGTATTGATGTTCTCATTCATATCATTATCAATTATCATTATTATTTTTTTTTCGAAATCTGCTTTATTCCCGGGGTGTCCATAAGATGCTGTAAAGATACCACGTATCGATATCCATTTCTCGAGGGACGACACGGCGTAATTCTTTCGCATGCAATTGCAGCCGCGTATGCTCATCTACTCGCGACTGCACGGCCTCGACCTAGGCTGCAGTTTCACGGCGCCCCTTGTTTACAAGGAAACGGCTGTGCGTCGCATACATTTGCGCCTGGGTCACAGCATTCGTATTCTAGCCCCAGCGTCCACGCGTCCGTCCGTATCGAAGTGCAGTGTGCGAGTGTGCCTCTAGTGTCGATGCGTGATGGCATCCCGACACTGTGGCGTACTATGCCAGGGCGAGGCCCTTCGCGGGTGAGACAATGGCTTTCACCAAGCGAGGATATGAGTTTACGCGCTGCAACAGTGCAATGGTCGCCGAATACGGAAAATGAATGTGGAAATGAAACGACATTGTAGAACGACGTTTTTTTTTTTTTTTTTTATGGAATAGAATAATAAATTTAATAATATAATAAAATTTAATAGAATAAAATTTTAATAAAAAAAGAGGAGTTTAATTTCTCCATTTCTTTCACATAGATGTTTCTGAGAAGATCTAGTTCGAAACGCTGTTCTCATTTTGTAAAAAGTAAAGGTTTCCACACGCGAAGAAAATATTATAATAAAAATTACAATATAATTTTTGTAATCGTGAAACGTATTAACATATAAGAAAAGTCACGCGCGATATTTTTATTCAAAAATATTATACATATATACGTTATATTATTATCAGTTATACGTATTATATTTTACAAAGGGATATTATATAATTATTCAACAAACAAATGCATAATCGTTAACATGCAATAAAACA